ACTAGAAATAGGTTACGCTGGTATATAAAAGAGGGGAAAACGTGACGCGGGAGATTGTTGTAATGTGTGTATAGATAGTGAGTAATTGAACTGCAGTAACAGGGTATTGTTGAAGTTAACGTTCGTTCGTTACAGTGTTGTTTTAGCGCGAGCATTGAGATTAAGTGTATCGCAGAGTTATATTCGGAAAGAATAAACCAGTTTTATTAAATAAAGACTTGTGTCGTTAAAGTTTCGTTGGAACAAAGTTACGGAAAGTTAATTAACAAACGGAGACGTAACAATACATTAAAGAGACTTGGGAAAAGCTGTAGGAAATTTCCTTGTATATATATATCTTGTTGACCAAATATGGCTAGCTATCAATTTTTTTTATCTCTCTGGAAAAATTACCTGAATTTTGCTGCAATTTAATTAAGAATGATTCAAACCAAGTGGAGCTAATTAAATTAATTATTATACTATACCAACATAATGAAGTAACAGAATTATACAAAGAATTTCATTCTCAGTTTTGAACATGCTAAGAAAATAACTAACCCTGAATTGATTCAAAATTTTATATGATTAATCTAATATAAATTAAAAAGTAAATTCTAAGTTAATTACAATGATGATTCTAAATCAAAATTTTTATTTATTTGTTACAAGATGGATATAATAAACTTTCTTAGACAATCACCAATACCAAACTATGTGAACAAATCTTTAAAATTGGCTATTTTTGAGCTTGTACACATTATTCTGGGAAACTCAATACAAAAAGATACAATTCTTAATTTAAAAACAAAACAAAATGTCATATAAACATAAATGGCATGCCACACTATACTTAATAGTTTAAGGACAGATAAAAAATACACGATATTAAATTCAATACCTGCAGTTTTTTTAAGGCATTTACTCCTTTTAGCTTTTCAATTAAATTATATGAGATCCATAACTCTTCCAAGCTGTCTCCTATTGCTTCCTGTAAAAGATGAACTATTTAAGTTATATTCATGAAACATTTTAAATATATTAAATTAGTATAATTCCTTTCTTGAGTAAACACTTACAATATAATATATACCTAAGGGTCGTGAAAGAGGTTAAGGATTGGATATATGAGCCACTCACTATTAGCTTTTCTAAGTCCTCGAATAGTGGGCCAGTGCCAAAAGATTGGAATCTAACTAATGTTTCTCCTCTTTTCATGGGAGGTGATAAAAACTGTCCCAGTAAAAATTTTGGCAGGGAAGGAGTCATCTTCAGCTAAGACAGCTTTATTTTTCTAGCAGGATGGTTGGCCTCTGGAAAGCGTTGCTTTTAGATGTGGTGGATGCAGTTAATTTAACGAAATTTAACAGAAAGCTTGATAACTATTTGAATGATAATGGAGCTGATAATGGAGTTTTTTGTTTTCTTTTAAGGATTTAGTTTAGTTTAGTAGATAGGATTGCCTAGATGGACCAAAAAGTTCCTTGATATTCCTTAATGTTACGTTACACTTTGTAACAGCATCCTACCTTTTTTTTCATAAGTTCAAACTGACTTTAATTACTGGGTCCTCAAAGCTTGATTTCCGTCAATAGGATATTGTAACTGAACTATAGAATTTTACATTTTTTTGAAATTAAATTGAATTTCAAAACAAAACAGGTACTTACCTCTGAAATTTGGAAAGCCTTTCATTATTGAGCTGGTCTCATGTTGTCAACAACCATGTCACTAAAGCTCTGAAGGTCCTTGACACAATGAAGAGCATGCATTAACTTATCCAGAGTTCTCCGCTACAAGAGGATGTATATAAGCTATACTTTCTTGCCATAACCCAGATTTTGTAGTTAAGGTTATGATGGAAAACCACGTATCTCCTGATATTGTAGGGAGGTGGGTGAGAATATATTTCAGAGGTAAGTACCTGTTTGAAATTCATATCAATTCTAAAAATGTAAAATCCAAAACAGCAAGATTCACTTCTGAAATATAAAAAGCCAGAATACCCATACTGAAATGGTGGAAGAAGTCTCAAATGCTAGACACTAGCATGCACATGGATATGGGAAACATATCTGTCAAGACATCATCAACCATCAGACATTCACCACTTCTAGAGACATCACCCTCTCATGGAGTATTAGCACAGAGGGTAGAATGTTTGTCTAGGACAATTGCAGAGGAATATGTAACATAAGAGTGTTGACTGATTGTATCCATTCAAACATAGAGTCTCATAGTAGCAAACAGAAAGAAAGTTTGCTTTTATTACTTGAATGATTCCACAACTTGTGACAACTCTATAATTGTTAAAAGGATTTTTGAGCAGTACAGTGATATGTGTGTTACCTTGCACATACGTGGCATTATAATTGGGAACTTAGCAGGTAACAGAGAGTAACTTACCTGATAGGGATTCCATCTGACTTGAAGAACCACAACCACAGGTAAATGAAATTCTGGAGCTGGAGAGACAGAAATTTGTATCAATAAAATTTACTTTTAAGGTGTTCAGAAACATTGCAGTAAAGAAAACAGATCAACTGCACAAGCTAATTTGTTAATGAAGCTTGAGCAAGATCCTAGGAGCTTGATTCATTATGGGGTATACAAAACCTTTTCCCAGGCCAATGAAAGATTCAATACACATGCTAGATAATAACAATCAGCCCTGAAATAACATAAAAACATTCTTCCAAATGGAACTCCAAATCAGTTGGAGCAGGTAATACGATAGTTGATAAATAGTTGTTAATTTCAATCACGGCACAAAATTTAGGTAGAAAAACTTGATCAGGGTATAAATATAGGGACTCCAAAAAAATAAAGTACATGAAACATCAAAAAAGAGATTACAACAAATGCAACCCAAGTTCCATATGTGACAATACATAAGAACATGGGGTTGTTGAAAACAAAGGGCTCAGAAAAGGTTTTTTTTAACAATGGGGTTAAAACTGATTGATAGCTTCTGTGGCATCTAAAAATAGAAGATGGAGCAAAAATGAAAGAATTTTATAAGTTACAATTATGAAACACATCCATAAGAAAAAAAACAATTGCATGAACTCTGGATGGTGGCTTAACAAAATTAATAGTTAACCAGGGAAGAGTGTCAGCAAAAAATGGGCTAAAAATTGAGCCGCCTGGAAGAAGAATCTGGCTTCTCAGACAAAGAATTGAACAACAGTCAGATGTCAAGCTATAGACATCAAATGTCATTGTGAAGAACAGAATGTTTGAGGATGCCACAGATTTTTGCATGGTGTTAATAAGACCAGAGTTGCAAAGTACAAGACTGGTGACCAGAAAAGTGAAAACTTGGTTCTAATGAGAGTTACATAGGTGTTCATCAGAGTATTCCCACAGTGTGAATAAAACCACTGAAACACCAGAGAATAGAGAGATGAAAGGATCTAGTATAGTTGAGACAGCTGATCTTCCCACAGTGTCAAAGTTCCAAGGATAAGATAAACCAACAACCAAATAGGGTGATTGTGGGCCTAGCAGACAAAGTCAAAAGGCAGAAAGTAGGTGTCCTAAAACCAACAGAAATTTGATGTAAGAGACAGCAACAGAGTTGTCTGAATGGATTGTAACAAATGACTAGACAGAACATGGAAAGCTCAATAAGCAACCAACATTTTATGGATGTTGATATGAAGAGACTGCTCCTCCAAAGACCAGACCCTGAAAAAGTCAGTTTCATTTGTTACAGATTTCACGCAAGGCTACACAAGGGCTATCTGCACTAGCCATCCCTAATTTAACAGTGTAAGACTAGAGAGAAGGCAGCTAGTCATCACCACCCATCGAGCTCCCTAACCACCTGGACATGCCGGGCCTGTAAAAGTCAGAGCTTCAGATGTTCGGAAATGCCCTTATCCAGAAAAACAGGCATCTATGGACATATGTAAGTCTTGGCAAGGTGGGGGGAAGAGGAATGCTTAGGGTCATGTGGGACTAAATGAACCACCACAACTGTGAATGGTGAAAAGATGGAGGGAGAAGCCCAAGAAAAGACAGTGAATCTTTGGAAATACTTCAGTGATCAACCAGAGTCCAGTGAAGAGGATGCATGTGGGCAGGTCACAGAGAAAAAATTTCACAAAAAGTTCTGTCTTATTTGGGGACTGATACTTCTCTTAAATCCCGAAGAGGAGACATGAAAGTTTTGGTAACCATAAGTTCCATATCTTGAATAACCTATAATAACAGAAGGTATAGTACTGTTTGTTCTTCATTTTAGTGAAAAGCTATATAATGGGCCATCTGTTTTCTGTTACATTTTAAGTTCGTAAATTGAATGCTAACTCACCCAAGAAACTATTTAATTAAATTAGATACTGCATTGGGACAAGGCGAACTTGAAATGCTTGACCAGCCAACCTCAGTGAGATGATTCACAAAAAAGAAGAAAGGTCACAACCAAAGATGCATCTTTGAAAGGGGAAGAAGAAGAAAGACGTCTATGTTGTAAAGGAGATTTATACACAAGAAATGCATCATCCATGTGAATTCTATTAGGACCCAATCAAAACATATGAAGCCATAGCTAACTTGAATAAAAGGGCCTGGAATGAAAAAAAATTGAAATTCATGGATTAATCAAAGTAAGCAGAAGGTTGTCAACAAATGGAAATGTGAATAAATTCTTCTGTAATATTGACCCTGCTCATCTACATCCACTTCATACTGAGACAATCATCAAAAATCTTCAACAAACTGAAAGATGACATGACACTGGTTCAAAGACAACAGAATAATGATAGGTTTCCAATCTCCCATTGTTAAGACAAGAAGACAGAAGTAATAGTAGAACCCTAGACTGGGGTCAAAAATGTGGTCTCCAAATTCATAACCTGGAAAGAAGAAAAAGTATTCTCTAGGTGCTGAGGACACAAAGGAACTGAGGGATGGAAAGAGGTGTTGAGTGTGAAAAGACAAAGAAAGCACCTGTGTGACCCAAATATCTTCTCTAAAATGATTCCATAGGTGTGTAAAATGTGAGAGCAGAACTCCCACCAGATCAAGCCAGGGAATGGTTTCAGAAACAAGACATCTTCATAATTCATAACACTCAACCCTCTGAGATGAGGGTCATGGTTTATGAGAATGAGAAACCTGTACAGACTCCTTGGACTTGGCAAAAAGGAAAAACAAAGTCAGCAGAGAGTGCTTCTGAAATATGCCTCAGCTTGAGTTTCTAATGAATAAGGAACTTTCCAAAAATACCTTGTCATGAAGACAAGGTGCCACAAAGAATGATACAAGATAAAACTCAAGAGAAGTAGCCCCAGGGAGTAAGCCATCTTGACCAAGTCAATCCCAGAAAAGAAGTCAAATTAACTGGTGCACAGGAGAAAATCAAGATTAATGTAGAGAACAAGTAGATGTAATTTTTACCCCAGTGAAGGAGTCAGGGTTGTAATGTAGAGCCTCTGAAAGAAGGTGAAATGTGGACAAATAGCAAATAAGCTGAGCAACAGCAACATGAAGATGAGCAGATTGAAAGAAAAACAAAGATTGAAGAGGAAGAGATCTCCAAGATAGAAGAAGAGATTCAGGGGAATGAAGCTCAAAGAAAGAAAAAGAATCATGATAAAATGCCATAGAATAAGATTCTCAAGGTCTGGGAGGACCAGGCACCTGGAGATCAGTACAAAGTTGTGACATAAAGATACTGACGTGTACACAAATATCAGGAAAGAGGAAAAGAGAAGAGAGTCAGAAGAAGGAGCCTGATGCAGCAAGGTAGTATAATATTCATCAAAAACACCTGTAAAAATAAAAAAATGTCACACACCTGTGGAACAATTCAACAAGGATGAACATGGAATTACAGGTTCTTCATCAGGAAGGGAAGAAACAAAACAAAAGGAGCTGGTGGGAACAGAAGATGAAAATCATAAAAAGACAAAGTAAGCTGAGTTGAAGCAACAGAAACAGGAAGTGAAGATTCCTTGCTCCAAGATTAAAATGGAACCAACAACCTGGTGCACAATGACAGTAACACCACTGACCATCAGGGTACCTCCATTTGCCATTAAATGCTGTAACAGATGTTTCCTGTTGTGGAGTGAAAGGACCTCATAAGGTGTCAGGAATATTGATACATGATTTCATAGTCGAGCTGATCCATAAAGCCATTTAATGTTTTTTATAAGTTGGTCTTGTAAATACTTAGTTCATAGCCCTCAGTCAGTCATAATGATGAAACTGGAGATTAATTAATGTGTCAGGTTTTATAAGGCCAGATTCTTTACGATAAGTGTCTGCTATGAACTTACCAAAGAATATTTTCACTGGAAGTTCAGAGAAGTCAAACATGACACTGGAGAAACTATATGGCACTTCTAAGGCAATACTTCATAAGATGGACTGACATGGCCAAGTGTGAACATAGTTTTGAAGGACTGGCAGATCTACTAATATGTAAACAGTTCATAACCACATAGTCCACTTACATGTGGAGAGAGCACTGAAAGACATGGATGAGATGACCAAGCTGGCACTATAGTATATGGAAGTCCATATAAGTAGCAAGTTCAAGAATAACCAGTCAAAGTCGAAACCAGGGGTGACTGACCAGAAGCAGGATGCCACCAAAGGTTATCATAAAATGGGGCACATTGCAAGTGAGTGTAAGTCTGTCATCAACAATCAACAGCAGGAATATCAACATAAAGCAGCTGGAACTACCTACAACAATGGTTTAGGCAACAAACAAGAAAGGACAGACTATCACCATGGGTGCTGTTGCCAGAAGAAACAGAATGAAGACAACTGTCAGATTCACCATGATTAAACAGTGCATGATTAATAGCAAATGGGTCAATAGTGCCAGTGATGATTGGAGTATATGACACACACTGGGAGGTGCCAACAAACCCCAACATGCTAGTAGGCAAAGGCTATGTCGGAGATAAAACAGTGAAAGTCCTGTAAAACAGATGATGGGCAAGGTACATCTGTGTGTGCTTATTGATGGGACAGTAAGAACATTTCCCACAGCAAGAATAAAGGTGGACACTCCATACTATGTGGGAGACTTTGAGGCCATGTGTATGAAGACATCCATCTATGATTTGATGATTGGCAATATACTAAACAGTAGAAGTTTGGAGAAACAAGACCAAAAGAAGAATAATGAGGCATCTGCAAGAGCTCAAGAAAAGGAAAGCAAGCAAGATATTAAGCCCCTCCAAGTCTTGAAAGGTGATATTTCAAATGTAGGTCTATGGGAACTGAAGGAAGCACAGAAAAAAGACACTTCATTGCAAAAACTTTGGGACAGTGCCCAAAAGAACGTCAAGCAGAAGACAAAAGGGATTTAAGGAATAGAAAACTGGAAGCACTGTACCAGATCTATCAAGGCATTTCTACTGGAGACATTAAGCAGATCATAGTACTAGCAGAATACCACATTCAATAGATGAAGTTGGCTCATGAGTTGGTTGTGGGAGGATACCTGAAGCAAAGAAGATAACAGACAGAATCACCAACAACTTCCATTGGCTGGGAGTCAACAGAGATGTGACAAGATTCTGCAAAAGGACAGCACCAAGGGTACAACTGGGTGAGACGCCCCTCATAGAAGAGCCATTTAGCAGAGTAGCTGTGACTTGATCAGATCACTAGCACCTGTACCTGACAAGAGCAACCAGTACGTGCTGACAGTAGTTGATTATGTGTTACCCAGAAGCCATAGCACTGCCAAAGATAGAGACAGAGAGAGTAGCAGAAGCCCCTGGAAGTGTTTTGGAGAGTAGGCTTTCCCAGTTTACCTTTGTGAGAATGTCAACAGAGCTTTAAGGAACATGCCGAAGAAGATGTGCTGGGAAAGACCACATGACTACAGGCAGCATTATTTGTTTACTGAGAAGTACCAGAAGCAAGTACAAGATTTTCACCCTTTGAGTTACTGTATGGACGAATAGTACGAGATTCGATGCAACTATTGAAAGAGCTATGGACAGTAGAAGAAGAGTCAGAAGTGAGGAACACAGACCAGTACATATTAGACTTCAGAAACCAACTGGAGAAAGTTTCTATGCAGCTCAAGGCAGTCAGAAGCACTTCTATGACAAGAAGGCCAAGGATCGACATATCAAGGTCAGACCAAAGGTCTTGGGTTTGCTACTCACAGACAACAATAAACTTACCCTGCCCTGTAGTAGAAAGGTTTGATTTTATTTTGAATTTCACACAAAGCTACATGCTGGCTATGTGCACTAGTTGTCTCAAATTTAGCAGTGAAAGACTAGCGATAAGGCAGCTAGTCATTACCACCCACTGCCAACTCTTGAGCTACTCTTTTACCAACGAATAGTGGGATTAACTGTCACAATAAAATGCCCCCATGGTTGAAAAGGTGGGTATGTTTGGTGGGACGAGGATTCGAACCTGCAACCTTCAGATTGCGAGTCAAGCACCATAATCACCTGACCATGCAGGGCCATAGTAGAAAGGACCTTTTGAAGTGCAGGAAGTGGTCAACAGAATGGACTGGAAGATGAAAGTGGTCAGAAAGACCAAGATCTACCACACCAATCTGTTGAAGAGGTATTTCGAGAGGAAAGAAGAGCTAAAGGGTGCAGCTACTGAGGCATAGATGGACAGTGCAGGTGTAGCTGTCACGGTGTAGAACCAGAAGATGGTGACTCTGTCATAGAAGAGGAAGATCTATTAAATCTAAGACTATTGGATGGAAATGAGAAGTACAAAGACATCACCATCAGTGAAGAACAGACTGGCAAGCAGAAAGAGCTGGAAGCTGATCCTCGTGACAAAGTTTGACTGCAAACCTATGAGCACCCCAGAGGCTATCATGATGAAACAAAGATGGGGCCAAGTTATCCATCATACAAGATGTTATAGCTCTGATGACCAAGCAGCAAATTAGATCCTTCCTGGAGCTAGCAGATTACTATAGAAAGTTCATCCCAAACTATGTTGAAGTTGCTGCACCACTGATATACCTGACCAAGAAAGGCCAATGCAACAAGGTGAAGTGGGAACAACCACAGCAGATGGCATTCCAGAAGTTGCAAATGTTAATGCAGACTGTGTGTGTGTAGATTTTGTGCATGAATTGAAAACAGTCTTTGTATATAGTATAAAAAATATTGTAAATACTTTTCTTAAAGTTTGTCCCTGAAGAAGAAAAGTCCACCTTTCGAAAGTGCTTGGGCTATTGGGTTTATTCATTTTTTGAAGTGGTGTTAGTTAGATATACAGGGCTATTTTAATTTAAGTATAGTTCAAGTGTTAAATTTAGTTATTTTTAGCAGGGAATCATATGTTGTGTAGTTCAATTGTCGAAAATTGGGGGTTGTTGTATTATTTCATCATGTTACTAGAACCTTCTAAGTTTCTCTCAAGTATTATTACATCATAATATCTCATAGTGTGTGGAAAGTTCTAAGCCTCAGTCAGGCTATTTATAAATACACGAACAAAATGTACTTCAAGTTAGGTGTTTGTGAGTTAAGCCATCAAGACTTATAGTGACGATTTTTAAACTGAAATTATCACAGATTGTATTGCAATAATAGAGTAAAGAAATAATTCATCTTGTCAAATTGTGTTCAAAAGTAATTGAACTAGCCTGTGTGGACTTTGACAAAAAAAAAGAGATAAGTATTTAAAGCTCTAGATTCAACTGCGATAACCAACAGTTATACTGGTGATTTTAAAGTGAAGTTATCACACATTGCATTGTAATAACAGAGCATGAAAAATAATTTGTCTTGTCAAAGTGTGTTCTAAAGTAACCGAACCAGCCTGTGTGGACTTTGACAAAAAAAAGAAACAATTATTTAAAGCCAACAGTGTAACAATATTTGTATGTATGTTTGATTTGTTTTAATATATATATATATATTATTTTTAAACAAGTGGGTTGTATGCTGTTTGTTTATTGTTGAAATTTATCACCAACAAGTCACAGACACCTACTGTAAAGAATCTAGCCCATACATAACAAAACGTAACAACATTTATACATTACCTTTGTCTTTTGTCAACATTGCAATTCCAAAAAGGGAAAATTAAAATGAATTTATTATAACTCCATATTGCAGTTACATGTAACTGACCTCGAACACAAATAATTAAAACACTGAATATGTATAAAGCACAGCTGTTGCTAAGAGATATCAATGGATTACAAAGTCAACAACAACTTTACATGTGTGAAGCTCTATTGAGCTTTTCCATAGTATGTGTCATTCAGTTCCATTCTACATACAACTTTCACATCCCAAATCCTGGCTTAATGATGTTCATATTACCATTAATCTTTTAATATTTCTTAATAGCACTGGTGTTTTTGGAATATTATAGGGTTATCTACAGAATTAAATTTGATTCTTTTAATATCATCATTACATGTACATTTTTTATAACAACAATCTAAGAACTATATTAGAACAAATGCATAAATTGCTGGGAACATGCTCTAAACTTACCAAACCTGCTAGTGATTTTATCCAATTTCTTCCCAAAGATAAAATTCTTAAGTTTTCTAAAGGATGAAAAATCCAAAAATAATTATTGATAACTTACATTTCAGATCAGTTTATCACAGTAAAGTTTTCAATATTTAAGCCATTATCATTTAAAACAGTCATGTATCAGCAGTCAGTACAAATTAAAATCATAAGAGCTGTAAACTTTGATTTTATTTATGTGATGATTAAACTTTCCATTTTATTGTACTCTTATGATAAACTTATTTATATATACATTAACTAACTGACCACAAACACAAAGAATCAAAACACTTCTACAAGACACAGTTGTTGTAACAAAAGCCAATAAAAACTTTAGATCTGAAGCTGCACTCATAGCTGTTCTTGGGTATATGTACAAAGTATATTATGAAGCCAAGTTGCTATTTTTTTAGCGGTTTTGTGACATAGCAAATTCTATGTTTATTTTATGATTTTATTTATTGTTCATTTACTATTCTTGTTATTGTTTATTTAAACTGTGAATTTTTTTGTTATATTAAAGCACTAACTCACCTTCTAGATAGAGCACATTGAATTTCAGTGTTTGTATTATGAAACCAACACAAACTTCTCCTAGCAGTGACATACAGATGTTGTGAAAGATTACTAAATTAGTTAGTCACATAAGATGTAACCTCATGGTCTAACCGCTTAATAAAAACCCTTCCTTGATCTTTAAATGAGATATAGTTAGAATGAATTATTGCTAATTGTTGCTCTTTATTGTTACTGATCTTAAGTAGTGGTTTAATTTTGGTATACTGTTTTTTTTTTGGAAATAGGTTTTTATTCTTCTGGTTCTTCTTCCTAATTCCTTTATTTATTGAAATTAATAACACTGATATTTATGTTGTATTGTTTATTAATGTTTGTATCGAGTCCTGGTCAGGCACAGATTTATTAACTGTTTTTGTGTGTAATTTATTAAATTTATATTCCAATTGTTGGAAAGTTTTATTTTGGATTTCTGTTGATTTTACAGTTTAATAAGTTGTTTTTTTGTTTGAACTTGGTTGTAGCAGTGTTTTGTATTAGTTCGTTACAGTTTCATGTTAAGTAATCCTCAAAATAAATAAAGTATATGCAAGATATTTGATTGCTGCAGAGGCTAAATAACCAAAATGTATAAACTGCAGAAAGGTTTTTCTATATGTACAAATTTATGTTTAATTTCAGGAGAGTTAATCAGTGTCGACACCAACCACTTAGGTAACTTTCTTGCACCATTTATTACCAGTTAAAAAATGTATTTCATACAATCTCACAACAATAACTTCTACATTTTTATAGAGGTAAGGTCTTGAAAAATAGCAAATAAACATCTAGTTAACCCTCAATCTAATTAAATAATCAACAAAAACTTGGAACTTGTACAAATCCACATATGCAAGTGATGAATAAACCAATTTTAGTGTTTCTTACAAAACTGAAGACCAAAATAGTTTTCAAAGCACACAAAAATATGTGGTATGTGAGGTGTAGTTGCTTTATGCATAATGAGATGACTCCATCGTAATTGTACTGGTTTCAAGAACTGTTAGCATGGTAGGAGTAAACCATGTCACTTCCTATAAAGATGGCTGAACCAATGAACAGGTTTTCTTTTAAGCCAAAGACTGCTTTAATGGATCTTCAGCTATAAGTACTGGAATTACATAACTCTTGTTACAATAGGTTAAATCAAACAGTGAAGATATCCTTTATGCCAACTCAGGAAGCATTTGGCGGATTAAATGGCTGTTCCCCTGTTTCTTAAATACTACTAGGTGAGTTTAACTCTTGTTACAGTAAGTTAAATCAAACAGTGAAGATATCTTTTATGCCAACTCAAAAAGCATTTGGCGGATTAAATGGCTGTTCCCCTGTTTCTCAAATACTACTATGTGAGTTTCTCTCCTGTTCAAAGTGAGCATTACTGAATGCTTATTTAGTGTCACAGCAGAAGTGTATTTGGGGATTTTTTGTCATATTTTCAAGTGTTTGGTCCATTACACAGCCATTTCTCCATCTCAAAAATGGTCTTGCAGAAAGAATTGACTTGGTAAACATGTGCCACATGAAACTCTGCTTTGGTAATTTCATCAACTGTTGGTGCAGCAAGAAAGAGCTATATTATGTCATGTCCACAAAACATATATTCCTCTGATTCAAACATATTTTGTGATTACTAAGTTGTTGGTTCACCAGGAAGACTAATACTGCATGTTGAAAAACATGTATCTTTCTGTTTCAGTTGGGACTTTTGTGAGTTCTACATCTATTTGTCCAAAATAGCTAATTGCACTGTGTAAGGTTAAGATACCATTTACTTTGTTTTATCAAGTTTTAGGTTCTTGGAACACACATTTCTCTAGCTCAAACATGGCATTGGCAATTTCTACAACTGTTCAGACAACAAAAAAAGCAATTTTGAATTAGAAAGATTGTTTTCTTTTCATTGCTCTATGAAGCAGTTGTTGTTCATGCTAAAACACAGAGATGTAGATTTTATAGCTGTTGATGCAACAGAACAAATCATACTATAGAAAGATGTCCATTGCATTACAGTAGAAAATATTTTGCCCTTAAAAAAGGTTTCCTCAGACTCAAACACAGCCTTTGTGTGTTTTACATTTTTTGTGAGGAAGGGTAAACCATGATGTAAGAAGTGAAGAAGTACTTTGCATCACTACAAACAAATATTGCTTCAGAACATATATGGGTATGGTACGTGGGTTTCATTGCTGTGTATTATGTTCAGATGTCATTGTCTTCACCTTGGCACGTATTTGATCTACAGAGTGGAAGTTCCTCCAAATCAAACACTATTTTTCTAGGTTTTTCATCTATACATATAGTAGGAGGGAGATTACTAATTGTTGTGAACATATTCTTTACATCACCTACATTAGCTTTTGTTTCTTTAACAATAAAACTAACATGAAAAATTCATAGCATGAGTGAATGATTTGTCACATTAGAAGAAGGAAGTCATATATTGAAATTACGTGTAAAAAGGCATTTCATAGTTTATTCAATTGGAACTCATATTTTTACACGGTTGAATAATAGATACTTCATTTATTCAAAAACAAACCACAGGAAAACCATCTAGCAGTGGTCAGAATGGACTCAAGAACAATGGACAGCATATGTCATGGAGTGAGTAGCAATACTTCTGTGTACACAGGTCCTGTTTCATGTTCACTATGAACAAAGTCTAGTGTGTTGGTGCAATATAATGGCCAGAGCATTGACACATAAGACAAACTATTTGTTGATCAGAAAGCAAGCAGCATTGGCTTGGACAGTGCTGATAATGGTCTGCAATTACAAGCAGTCAGCTATCCAGCTTCCCACTGAAATGGTAATCAAAATAAGAAACCCAACTAAGGTTACTGAGAAGGTTAAGGTCGCATCCATCATGCCTGAAAGCCAGTACTCAGCTGCTTGGCACATCTGAGATCACAGGATGAGGACATTGCAGGTGATATGGACTCAACACAATTCAGTGACATGTTGTCTAAATAAGCTGATGTATTAGTTGAACAGAAATCACTTGCCACATCATAAATAGAGGTGATGCATATTCCATTAAACAACAATTATACAGGCTTCCATGGAACATTTTGGATGTAGCCAGTGCTTAGATACAGTGGATGTTAAAGTAAATAATCATACAGCTTTCAAAGAGTGTGTTCATTGCTAGTAGTGATTGTCAGAAAGCAGGAGGGTATGCCTAGATTCTATTTTATTTCAGGTGGATGAATTCCATGATGCATATCAATACTATCCAGTTCCTGTTGCCACATGTATGTCTGGACATATTTGAAGGTCCCCAATGTTTCAACACTTTAGAACTGGCTTACAGGTATTGGTACCATTGGCTCAGTCAGTGCTGGTAATGATCTACATTTATCGGTGGTCAACTATCCAGTTACAAAAGTGACGTCTATATGAGTGCTGGGTCATGCCATTTGGCCTATGTAATGCTCCCACCACTTTTAGGAGGGAAATGGAGTTTAAGATCAAGGAACTGCAATGTGAGAGATGCCTGGTATATGTGGATGATTTTTTGGTGCTTTAGCTGCACATGTTGTGAACCTATCCATTGTACTACAGCAGATAAGAATGGCAGGACCAAAGTTCAAACCAAAAAAGTGTGTGCTACATATACAGATAGAATTTTTGTTACATATTGCAAAGAGACAATAACTTGACAGACCCTGCAAATATCTCTGTGGTTCAGATTGTCCTCAATTCATGACAAGGCAAGAAATACAAAGCTTCCAGGGCTTTGCTTCATATTACCAATATTACATATTACCAAAAGTGTGTGCTACATACACAGGTAGAATTTTTATCACATA